TGACATGCAAAGAGTATATCGGAAAAATGAAACCTACCAAACGATCCTCCATTCCTCTTCTAACAGCCATTCCCTCTACCTACCCCGTTTGTCTCTCCTTCATCTTCCCCCACTTATTCATTTCTTCCTTCATTTCCTAATTTTATTTTTCTATAACTCTTCCCTCACTACCTACATATGCACATTTCTATATATATATATTCATATTGCCTAATTTCTACGAGAAGAGGAGAAAAAAAGAAAGATATTAATTCTTGTGAAACACAAAGTCACAACACTCTTCATTACATCGATCATAATGATAACTGCCGCTCTACACGAACCTCAGATTCACAAACCGGCCGATACTTGTACGGGCGATGCGGCTCCTCCTACGCCTCGCATTTTCCGGTCGAAGCTTCCGGACATCGACATCCCCAACCACCTCTCCCTCCACACTTACTGCTTCGAGAAGCTGTCCTCTGTCTCCGACAAGTCCTGTCTGATCGTGGGATCCACCGGAAAGAGCTACAGCTACGGCGAGACGCACCTCATCTGCCGGAGAGTCGCGGCGGGATTGCACAAGATGGGAATCAAGAAAGGTGACGTCATCATGATCCTTCTCCAGAACTGTGCGGAGTTCGTCTTCTCCTTCATGGGTGCCTCCATGATCGGCGTCGTCTCCACGACCGCAAACCCTTTCTACACTTCCCAAGAGATCTATAAGCAGCTCAAATCTTCCGGAGCCAAGCTCATCATCACTCAATCTCTCTACGTTGACAAGCTGAAAAACCTCGACGACGATACCAAAATCGGACAAGACCTCACGGTGATCACAACCGACGGTCCTCCACCGGAGAACTGTCTCCCATTCTCCACACTCACCGAAGACGAGACAGACCCACCACCTGAATCCGTCGACGTGGGCGGTGACGATGCGGCGGCGCTTCCGTTCTCGTCGGGAACGACGGGGTTGCCAAAGGGGGTGGTTTTGACACACAAGAGCCTGATCACGAGCGTAGCTCAACAAGTGGACGGAGAAAACCCAAATCTCTACCTTCACTCAAACGACGTCGTGCTCTGCGTTTTGCCACTCTTCCACATCTACTCTTTAAACAGCGTCCTCCTCAACTCCATCCGATCCGGTGCGACGGTTCTTTTGATGCACAAATTCGAGATCGGAGCGTTGTTGGATCTGATACAGAGACACAGGGTTACAATAGCGGCGCTTGTTCCTCCGCTTGTGATCGCTCTGGCTAAGAACCCTTCCGTTAACTCTTACGATCTCTCCTCCGTAAGATTGGTTCTCTCCGGTGCAGCTCCCTTAGGCAAAGATCTCCAGGATAGTCTCCTTCGCCGCCTCCCTCAGGCCGTTCTTGGTCAGGTATATATATATGTCTACGCTTTTTTAGTTTAGCGGGAACCATTTCCTTCTGCATACTATTTAAAATTCGACCAAATCTTTTTTTAGTCCAGTTGATCTGTCATCTTCCGAATGCCAATTTCTCTACTAATTTTTATGAAAATGAATAATTTGGCTATGTTAATTCAATATTTTTTGGGTTGTCAAAACACATAAGCAAAAATTACACATTTTTCTAAATAATTAAAAAAAAAAATTGAAAAACGGGAGGGGATGCACGGGAAGAGAGTGAGGAGTGAGTTGCGTCTATCTTTTCTGCATAAGTCTTGTTACGTACGGTCCATCTGCTCCCAAGCTAATTTCGCATTGCATTCCTCTCCTTTTTTTTTTAAGTTCCTTTTAATTATATAATTTTTGGTCTAATAAAATAGATGTAGATTAGATTTAGACTACAAAAACGGATGTGTTTTAGGTTGGCCGCTTCAATGAATATTGCATCTTTATCTTTCAATTATTTAAGTTTGACATTAGAGTTTTTGCTGCCGTAAGTATTCAATTCGAAAC